CATCGCCGGAATCACCTCCCCATGAAATGTAAGCTCGGTGCTTCTTGAACGGTTTCTTCTCCTTCTCGTTTTTGGCATTTGGGCATTTTGGCTTGATGTGCCCAACTTCTCCACACCCATAGCACTTGGGTGGTCCTCCATGCTTTTTGCCCTTTCGTTCATACTCTTTTCGCATGAACTTGTGGAACTTTTTGATGACAAGTCCGAACTCGTTGTCCTCATCGCTTGATTCCTCCATGGCGGGTTCTTGGCTTGAGGTAGCCTTGAGTGCAATCCCCTTCTTCTTTTGTTCACCTAAAGACGGGAATAGAATGGTGGACTCATAGGTTTTGAGGTTACCTCTAAGTCCATCAATGGTGACGTTGGTGATGCCGATGGACTCTTGAATGGCATCGGCTTTGGAGCGCCACTTCGGTGTGAGACTTCGCAGGATTTTTCTCACAAACTCCTTGTCCGTGTACGTCTTCTTGAGAGCATGAAGATCATTGACGATTTTGGAGAATCGTTCAAACATTTCATCGATTTTCTCGTTTTCCTTCATACGAAACAATTCATATTCATGGGTTAGAAAATCAATTTTAGCTTCTCGGACTTGATCCGTACCTTCGTAGGTGATTTCTAGTTTGTCCCACATTTCCTTTACGGTGGTGCAACAAGAAATCTTCCGGTAGTCATCCGGGTTAACGACACAATAGATGATGTTGATGGCCTTGGCATTGTTTTCCACCTTCTTGATGTCTTGTGCATCATATTCATCCTCGGTCTTAGGGACGTTGGTTTCCTCGACCTTCTTCATTGGCACGTCCTCACCATTTTTGATAATTCTCCAAAGGAGAAAGTTGGTGGATTAGATGTAAATCCTCATCCGCTCCTTCCAATAGGTGTAGTTTGTTCCGTCAAACAATGGAGGCCTCGTGGTGGATTGCCCTTCACCTAAACCTGCGTATGAACTTTGAGTAGAAGCCATTGATCGTTTCTCTCAAACGGTTAAGTCTTTCAGAGAGTATGTGTAACACCCCAACCCGCGTAACCCGAAACAACGAGTTAGCGAGTCGGGTTGTCACTAATTTGATATTCACACGCATAATATTTTAAAACATTTGATAATAAAATATGAATTCGCATTTATTTAGAAATAATTCATAATTAATCGGAGTAAATAATTCAAATGTTGCGGAAGCCTTTAAGACAACATCGTCAAACATTCTTGTAGTTAAAACAAAATAAAAGTCAACAAGTATTTAATTCAATTTCAAACAGCTCCGGGCCATCCACCAGCGTCACGCTTCACTAACCTCCAGGCTGCTCCTCATCCAATCCTTGATCCCTGCCTGTAAAAATAAGGAGAGTGGAAGTATCTAACGCTAGAACTAGCTTATAGACTAGCACCCAATAACATATGATCATATAATATCAGAAGAATCGGTAATTACAATTATCAAATAGTATCATCCGTTGTTCGTTCGTTCGTACATCCGTTCGTTTCATATCATTGTGTATTGTTACCATACTTAACATATTCGACTAAAGTCTAACTAAACACACTAGTCATGGACACTCTTGGAAAGGTGTCCAAGAGGCCAAGCTTGTAAACCCAATGGAATGTGTCCAATTGGGCGGGTTGGAGCCCCTACCACAGAGGTGCCGAGGCAGGTCGCGGACTCCCGTACGTACGCTTTAACCCTGGAGACCATCAGATGTACGTCGACACCTGCATGACCTTAAATTTCAAATTCTCAGTCCTATAGGTGTTTCAACTCTCTAATTCCATTCAAATCCGTCCAATACTATTAGGTGTCTCATTTCACAATTTCAATTCAACATGTTACTGTTGTCAACTCCGTAAAGTTGGATTATTTCATAGTCAAACTAAATCTTAAAGCCCAAATTATAAGAAATGGGTCAAATTGCAACCAGCTTGGAAATTCTAGGGTCAATTTGCAATATTAGAAACTTATTTTATTCCTCAATTATTAGAGAGGAAGAGAGTTGGTAGTTGACTCTTCGTTCTCTTCTTCCTGGCGCAGCACCGAACACAGAGCAAGGCAGGGAAACGGAGACTCATCCTAGCGGCGTCCATCCTCCGGTGCCAGCTGCGGAAGAACAGCTCGGCGACCAACAGCGGCGGCAGCGGTTCCCCCACCTACGGAGACAGCCCTCGCAGCAGCGGCAACACCCTCCACCAACACTGGCGGCAACGTGCTGGACACGGCGGTGGCACACCTTCGGCAGCGGCAGCAGCCTTCGAAGACATCAACAACCAGAAACCCACCATCGAGCAAGAAGAACAGAGCAGGAGCAGAACAGCGGAGGAGTAAACAAAACAGGGAAGAACAGATGAAGGAGAAAAACAGCCGGCAATATAATCCCAATTCACATTCCCAAACCCGACACGATCCATCAAGAGATTCATAATTCAATTCACAAATTCATCATCAATTACACGAAAATATATCAACGAATCCTAATCTATGAATTAACTCTAACGAGAGATAAATCACTCACCTCAATTAGATCGACGAAGAATCTAAGTGGCAGTTAGATTCCGGCGAAGAACCCTGGCGACGATATCCGACGAAGCTTTGCGGCGAATCCTCTGCTCTGGACGGAAGTTGCATGCGAAGAAGAAGCAGGAGGACCGTATATATGCCGTTCCTAATCCTAACGGAAATGAGTGTCTTCCCCTTATTTATTATTATTATTATTGTTATAATTAATATTATTAAATCTCTTTATATTAATTTACTAAACTGTATTGACTATTTCGCTCATTACGGTTCACACGAGATTCCAAACTTGACAAATAATATATCGTTGGTCGCCTATTCTCGAGATCTATCCGAAAACCCAAATTTCGTGGGATAATATTATGTTTTCATCATATTTGTTTTTTTATTCATTTTCTTTATAATCTTTTCAGTCTCGGACGGTCAAACCCCTAACCTTCGTAAGTCGCATCCGTACGCGGGACATGTCGTCAAACTCGTTCCATCGAGGCGTTCAATCCGAGTATAATCTCAACGATAAAAAGATTCCTTTAAAATATCTTATTTTAATATTTTCGTTTTGACGTTTATTTAATTTAAATACAAATTAGAATTGTAATTAATTAGAAATTTATTATAAAATTCTAGGGTATATCTCAGGGCGTTACAGTATGGCTCCGATACCAATTGTTAGAATAAAGGCCCAACGCTAGAGGGGGGGTGAAAAGCGTTTAAAATAAAATCGCAGGAAATTAAAAACGAGTGCGTTAAAGTAAAGAGCGTAAGGAAGGAGCACACCGAATTTTATCCTGGTTCACCACAACATGTGGCTAATCCAGCCCCCTGAGAGACTCTCTCGAGCTACACTAACTCCGTTAAGCTTAAGGGTGCTTAACAAACCGATACAACTTGAGAACCCAAGTCACACGAGACTCAACACCTTTGCTCGGAGATACTGCACTCCAAGACTTCTCACGAAGGAACAAGGAACTTCCTTCGAGTTTACAACAAGGGAACAACCTCCCTTAAAGTGTATGAAAACACTTAAACACTCAGGAATAAAACTCTCACAAACTCATCTATACTCACTTGATCATTTGCGAGTTCTTGTGCTGTTAAAGAAGTTCTTAAGGCTCTCAAATAGCTAAGAAAATTAGGAATGATTATGCAATGAAAGAGTATTGAAATGTTGAAGAATTGTGTGTAAAATGAGAGGATTTGGGTGCCATTTTATAGCCCAAAATGGGATAAACCCGTTGCTAGAGTTTCCAATAGGATGAAGACAAATTTTTCAGGGACACAGGCTGATAGTCGATTATCCAAGCTTGATAATCGATTATCAAAAGATTCCTTGTCCAAAAATTTAAAATTCTATCCGTTGGAGGACAACGGTAACCCAGATAATCGATTGTCAACAAGCGATAATCGATTATTGGTCCTCTCAGAAGATTCTGGGTTTTGGCTGCAAAGACTGATAATCGATTATTGCATAAGTGATAATCGATTATTGCATGCTTCAGAACTTTGGAAGTTCAAAGCTGCAGGGGCTGATAGTCGATTGTCACTAAGGTGATAATCGATTATCACCCAGCTAAAGTCTAGGCAACTGAAACCCGTTTTGAAAAACCGAGGTTCAAAAACGAAGTGTTCCCAAAAGTAAAAACCAGGTTTGAAAAATATTGTATATTGTATAAAATAGTGAAAACAAGACTTTTTTGGTAAATACCAAGTCTCCAAGGTCATACAATACGTGCGTACTGTTTTGCCTGTTTTTCACGTGTTAGACCGATTGACCAAGATACAAAAGTGGTTTTTATAAAATAATTATTTGGAAACATTTTAAAAATGCTCAGAGGTAAAAACAGGGTTTAAAATATTGAAAACCACGGAGTTGGTTCGGGCGCCAAAAACTGAACGCCGAAAGCCGAACGCCGACTTAGGTGGTTTCGGTTCCGAGCAAGGACCAGGGATTTTAACAATAAAAGAAATCATCAAAAATGTTTTTTTTGATGCACAAAAAATATTTTATGATTTGTAAAAATTGTTTTGACTTTTTGAGAAACGAGACTTGAATTTATTGTCGGTTTTGATCACAAAAGACCGACTCGACTAAGTCTTCAATTCTTGATCTTGTCCTTGAGTCTTTTTGGTCTTGTTCCAAGCCATTCTTCACGCCTTGAGTTATTCAACGAAACTTTTTATATCCACGGCGGTTTGGCAATTATCAAAACCTGTCAGAAATGAACACGACTTTAGTTTATCGTACAAAGTGTGTTCCAACAAACGACACGCCTATCAAATTTTGGCGCCGTTGCCGGGGAAAGATAATTTTTTTAATGAGAATTGGTTTGCTTATTGTTTAAAAAACACTTAAGAAAAAAAGTTTTTTTATTATGTTGGTTATTATAGCTTAATAAGTCAGTTTTTTTTAAAAGTCTAAGTCAGTCCCTAGGTGCATTTGTGTCTTGTTTGTAATCAGTTTGTTATGAGTCCCTACGTTTTTTTCCCTTGGCCAACTTTTTACTAAAAAAAATAAATAGAGTTATCGACAGTTTTTAAAATCAACCTTTTCTCCACTAAATGCAGATTTTTGACAAGGTTCTAGCTGGGAGCCTAAAAGTTTTTAGGAAAATTGTGTTAAGAGGAGTTTCCAATCCAAGTTTGATCAAAATATTTTTATATGGATAACTAGTAACAATTAGGGAAGTAGGAACTAACTTTACTGACTTCTTTTTCCTTGAAACATGAATTTATTTTATTGAGAACTTGCCTAAAAACTCTTTAAAAACACTGTTTTCAAAGATGCATTACTGCAGATTTTAATTATTCAGACTAGGGAGTCTCATTAAAACGATTTTTTTTATTAAAGTAAAGTCAACTGAGCAACTAATGCACTTTGTTTTCAAAAAAAAAAGTGCAGAAATTTGAAGTCACTTATTACTTAAGGTGCTGATTTTGGAGTGACTTATTGCTTGTTTGTTATTTGCTCAGTAGTTATTTTCCGTTATTGTGAACAAAACATTTGCAACCAAAGACTCGAAGATGGGAGAGGTTTGGCTTTCTTCCTTTGTATAATTCGTATGGGGTTTTCATGAGTATCGGTCTGATGACGGCTCGTTTTAACACGTAGCTCGCGGTACTCACGGCATCCGCCCAAAAATACTTAGGAATTTTTGCCTCATCGAGCATAGTTCTAGCCACCTCCTCGAGACAACGATTTTTACGTTCCACCACGCCATTTTGTTGTGGTGTACGTGGAGCGGAGAAGTTATGCTCGATGCCTAGTTCGTCACAAAACTCGGTAAAGAGATCTCGTTCGAACTCTCCACCATGATCGCTTCGTATGGCTACGGTGGTTAAGCCTTTTTCATTTTTAACCTTTTTGAGAAAAGTTTTGAAAACATGAAATGCCTCACTTTTGTGAGTTAGAAATAGTGTCCATGTGAATCGAGAGTAGTCATCAACAATCACAAAGGCGAAATAGTTTCCCCCAAAACTTTTTGTTCTTGATGGTCCAAAGAGATCCATGTGCAAAAGTTGTAGGGGCCTTGTTGTAGACACAACATTTTTCGATTTAAATGAGGCCCTTACTTGCTTGCCCTTTTGACACGAATCACAAATGGTATCCTTCTCAAACTTGAGTTTTGGAAGGCCAACTACTAAGTCTTGTGAAACCAATTTATTCAAAAGGTTCATGTTGACATGAGCTACTCTACGATGCCATAGTCACATATCGTCCTCCTTACTCATGAGACATTTGGCAAAGTCGGAGGGAGATTCATCTAAGTTAACCATATAAATATTATCGATTCTATCACCATGAAGAATCATCTTATTGTCACTAAGACGTTCTACCGTGCATGATTTAGAATCGAAGGTCACACGATTTCCCTTGTCACACAATTGACTTATGCTCAAGAGATTGTGTTTAAGACCCTTAACCAACAACACATTATCAATAGAGGAGGATTCGTTTTTAATAACCGAACCAATGCCGATTATCTTGCCTTTGCTATTATCGCCAAAGACAACATTTCCACCTTTAGTTGGTTTGATTTGCAAAAACTTGGATGCATCTCCGGTCATGTGCTTGGAGCATCCGCTATCAAGGTACCAAAGTACACTTGATGCCTTCAAGCACACCTACAAACCAATTTAAAAAGATTTAGGAACCCAATTCCTTTTGGGTCCTTGGGCGTTAGGTGCATGTTGGTAGTGTGATTGGTTTTGAGTGTAATGCCTATGCCTAGTGAAACAAACAGGGGCTATATGTCCTACCCTATTGCAATAATGACAAATAACATTTGGATTATGCATTCTCCTAGGTTGATAATAGTTACTAGGTTTTCTATATTGATTGATCCTAGTTTGAGAAAAATTTTGTTTATTATTTGAAAAATTGTTTCTAGGTTCTCTAACTTGACCATTGTTTATCCTAGTGTTCTTTCTAGGTGGTCTAGTGTTCCTAGTTGTTGTAGGATGTCTATTATTGCTCATTTTAGTTTTCCTAGGTTGAGCCTTAGGATGTTTAGGTGGTTGCTNGTGGTTGCTCAACTTTTTCCTTATTATTATTGGTTTCACTTTCAAACCCTAAGCCATGTTTAGTAAGTTGCAAATTGTCAAGAACATCATTAAGGTTTTTATGAGAAACACCAAACTTATTCAAAGTTCCTTCAATTTTTGCAACTTGTTCCTTAAGTGATATACAAGAGCTACATATTGAACTTTCCGGTTTGTCGGCGCTTCTTTTTCCGAAAAACTTATTTTCTTCTTTAAGTTTTTCATTATCTTTTGATAGTTTATCAACTTCCTTCTCCATGGAAGTAAGTTGTTTCTTCAAATCCTTGTTAATTTTAGAAGCGTTGACATATTCATCATAAAGTTCATTCAAGGCTTCTTGTACATCATCAAAAGTGTAGGAATCTTTAGAAGTGGTACATACCTCTTCCGGCGGTTCCTCGTGTGCCATGAGGCAAAGGTTGGCGCTTTCATTTTCTTCACCTTCTAATGGCTCGTCGCCAGAATCACCTCCCCACGAAATGTACGCTCGGTGCTTTTTTAATGGTTTCTTCTCCTTCTCATTCTTGGCATTTGGGCATTTTGGTTTGATATGCCCAACTTCTCCACACCCATAGCACTTGGGTGGTCCTCCATGCCTCTTGCTCTTTCGTTCATACTCCTTGCGCATGAACTTGTGGAATTTCTTGATAACGAGCCCGAACTCGTTGTCTTCATCGCTTGATTCCTCCACGATGGGTTCTTGGCTCGTGGAAGCCTTGAGTGCAATCCCCTTCTTCTTTTGTTCACCTAAAGAGGGGAAAAGAATGGTAGACTCATAGGTTTTGAGGTTACCTCTAAGCCCGTCGATGGTGACATTGGTGATGCCGATGGACTCTTGGGTGGCATCGGCTTTGGAGCGCCATTCCGGTGTGAGACTCCACAGGATTTTTTCTCACAAACTCCTTGTCTGTGTACGTCTTCTTGAGAGGATGGAGATCATTGACGATTTTGGAGAATCGTTCAAACATCTCATCGATTTTCTCATTCTCCTTCATACGAAACAATTCATATTCATGGGTTAGAAAATCAATTTTTAGCTTCTCGGACTTGATCTGTACCTTCGTAGGTGATTTCTAACTTGTCCCACATTTCCTTGGCAGTGGAACAACAAGAGATTTTCCAGTAGTCATCCGGGTTTACAGCACAATAGATGATATTGATGGTCTTGGCATTGTTCTCCACTTTCTTGATGTCTTGTGCATCATACTCATTCTCGGTTTTAGGGACGTTGGTTTCCCCGACCTTCTTCATGGGCACGTCTTCACCATTTTTGATAATTCTCCATAGGAGAAAGTTGGTGGATTGGATGTAAATCCTCATCCGCTCCTTCGAATAGGTGTAGTTCATTCTGTCAAACAACGGAGGCCTCGTGGTGGATTGCCCTTCACCTAAACCTGCGTATGAGCTTTGAGTAGAAGCCATTGATTGTTTCTCTCAAACGGTTAAGTCTTTCAGAGAGTAATGCTCCGATACCATTTGTTAGAATAAAGGCCCAACGCTAGAGGGGGGTGAATAGCGTTTAAAGCAAAATCACAGGAAATTAAAAACGAGTGCGTTAAAGTAAAGAGAGTAAGGAAGGAGCACACCGAATTTTATCCTGGTTCACCACAACGTGTGGCTAATCCAGCCTTTCGAGAGACTCTCTCGAGTTAAACTAACTCCGTTAAGCTTAAAGGTGCTCAACAAACCCATACAACTTGAGAACTCGAATCACACGAGCCTTAACGCCTTTGCTCGGAGATACCGCACTCCAAGACTTCTCACGAAGGAACGAAAGACTTCCTTCGAGTTTACAACAAGGGAACAACCTCCCTTAAAGTGTATGGAAACACTTAAACACTCAGGAATAAAACTCTCACAAAGAGTAGATATGATTGACTAGTAAACGCTCAAGAACACGACAATTTCTTCAAGAATTGGCTCTCAAATAGGTAAGAAAAATGGGAATGCTTATGCAATGAAAGAGTATTGAAATGTTGAAGAATTGTGTGTAAAAATGAGAGGATTTGGGTGCCATTTTATAGCCTAAAATGGGATAAACCCTTTGCTAAACTTTCCAACAGGATGAAGACAAATTTTTCAGAGACACAGGGTGATAGTCGATTGTCTAGCCTTGATAATCGATTATCAAAAGATTCCATGTCCAAAAATTTTATATTCTATCCTTTGGAGGAAAACGGTAACCCAGACACTCGATTGTCAACAAGTGATAATCGACTATTGGTCCTCTCAGATGTTCCTGGGTTTTGGCTGCAGATTGTGATAATCGATTGTTGCAAAAGTGACAATCGATTATTGCGTGCTTCAGAACTTTAAGTTCAAAAGCAGCGGAGGCTGATAGTCGATTGTCACTAAGGTGATAATCGATTATCACCCAGCTAAGACCCAGCCGGCGAAAACCCGTTTTGAAAAACCGAGGTCCAAAAACGAAGCATTCTCAAAAGTAAAAACCAAGTTTGAAAAACATTGAATATGGTATAAAATAGTGAAAACAAAACTTGTTTGGTAAAAACCAAGTTTTCAAGGTCGTAAATCACGTGCGTACGGTTTTGACCGTTTTTCACGTGTTGGACCGATTGACCAAGATATAAAAGTGTTTTTTATAAAATAATTATTTGGGAACCTTTTAAATATGCTCAGAGATAGAAACGAGGTTTAAAACATTGAAAACCACCGAGTTGGTTCCGGCGCCAAAAACCGAACGCCGAACCCCGAATGTCGTACGCCGATGCCGAACATCGACCTACGTGGTTTTGGTTCTGAGCAAGGACCAGGGATTTTAATACAATGAAGCTTTCAAAAATGTTTATTTGATGCACAAAAAACGTTTTATGATTTTGTAAAATTATTTTCTCTTTGAGAACCGAGACTTGTATTGATTGTCGGTTTTGATCACAAAAGACCGACTCGACTTCGTCTTCAATTCTTGATCTTGTCCTTGAGTCTTTTGGTCTTGTTCCATGCCATTCTTCACGCCTTGAGTTATTCAATGAAACTCTTCATATCCACGGCGGTTTGGCATTTATCAAAACCTGTCAGAAATTAACACGACTTTAGTTTAACGTAATAAAAAGTGTGATCCAACAGTAATGTCCCCCCCTATGGGTTGGAGACTTACAACACTCTGTACTTTCGTAGTGGTGAGAAAATAGGTTGTTTTTTATTCTATGCACCCAGCTGCATAGTGGTTAGCTTATCTTTGAGTCATCAAAGTAATTCTTGCACTTCATTTACATGCTTATGTCTGATTGAGAATAACATTTGCTACACATGATTTACATCTAGATCTAATTATTTTGGAGGGCTGTTTTAGAGGGAATATCAAGTTTCA